TTGTTATATATAACATTAAAGATTGGTTTCATTCCTATACGAATTATCAATTCATTACTGAATTATCAAATTTGTGTAATTTTATATTACTGAGATATAGCGATATTTAAAATAGAAATTGCAACTAACTTTATTTACATTTCATACCGCATGCAGAACCAAAATGCTTACTAACAAAAATATATTCATTAATAAAGCATGATAAATGAAAAGAATATAAAATTTACGTTCAAAATATCGGTCCATTAGCATAAAATGTTCCCTACATCTAACAAATCACATACTTATTGTATGTTCATGCTTTTAGACGATAGTTCTTTCAGCGCATTTAAAATTTTTACGACCGGACCAAGTTTCAAGCCTAACAAAGTAACTAAATTATTGTGAGCATTATCAGGAAGAAGAAGAAGAGACTGCCCATCTATATCCTGATTACGGAAAGTATTTGCACAATCTTCATTGCCAGTGACTGATGAAACCCAATTTGCAACTTCGTCACACTAAAAAAAAATTACTAGCATAATTATTCTCTGACTACTAAACAGCCTTTTAAGAATACCAAATCTTTGTGCGTAGATTCATTTCTACTGACAAAATCAAATATTTAAAGTTTTATATTGTTACTGCTGCACCCTTCAAACATGATCTTACTGTTGCATCCACTTCATATTAATTAATTGATAAATTTTTAAAATTTATACGCTTCAAACTGACCCACTTACAACTTGCTCGATCCTGGTACACTTGATAGCACACATATAACTTGAAAAATAAAACAGTACAATGCATGCAAGATTTTTAAGCCACTACAAACAATTGAGTATGAGCCATAAAAAAATTATTACAGTTTAGCATCGATTTCGTCGACTAATTACAAATACTAGCCAGAAATTAATGCCATAAAAGTAATACTTCTTCAACTGGATCTCAAACTCTCGTCAATTTTCATAACTTATGCTTCAATACTATAAAATCCTTACTGTCCATGTTTTTGTTGGCCTTGACAAATAAGCCAACTGTTTCTCTTCTTGTACAGACGTAGATGAAGCAACTGGTGAAACAGATATAGGTACTGTTTTATTATTTTCTCCAAGAGCACTATTAGTAGACAAATTACGAGGAGATTTCACAATTTCAGCTTGTTGTGGCGAAACCATTTTCAATGTTAAAGTTGGCGGTGAACGCTGTTGCAAGTCAGTGCTGTTTGTACCTTGAAAAGCACTTCTTTTTTCATCGAAAAAGAGAAAGATTCGAACAAATTAAATCAAAAAGACTCATGACCAACGTCATAAAGAAACTTTTTTTTAAAGCTCATTCTCTACAGCTCAATCAACAATTCCTGAAAAATTATTCAAAATAACCTGAAGAACATGGCTCTGAGACTATAGTAAGATTTTGTAACGCTATTATGGAACTAATATCTTTGTTGTTCAGTGAAGTTTCGGTTGGACGTATAAGTGGTAATCTTGGTAATGCTGAGACTTGACATCCAGCAACTGAAAATTGAATATGATTAAATGCAAACACAGTATATAATGGAAGGAAACCGATAAAAACCTTTGATTAACAGTAAACCAAGAATATTCATTAATAAACTGACTACTTATTTCCCATTCACCATAAGATTTGATAACCATCCTATGATTACTCATTTCAAAAAAAGAAAATATTTAATCACTAATATGAACTAACTCTAACGTTAACTTGTGTACTAGTACTATGCATTTGTAAATTTAAAACAATCTCTCAATATTGACAAAAACTGCTTAGCAAGATAAATCAATTTTGAAGATTCCAAAAAATTTGTATATTAATCCACTCCACTGTTTGACAAACTAAAAGCAAACCTTGATCCTCACTAATTGCAGGATTCTTTTTCCACAATTTTCGACATTTTTTCGAACAATACTGAGGATGATTTTCTAACCGTTTCAGACGTAACAAGCCATTGCAGTAATTACAACGTTCCGTATCAAGTTCCTCATCCGAGAAAGTGGCCAACACACTTCCACCAATAGTATCAGCACTACTTTTTGATGAGTTCAGTGATTGATCTGCTCCTGCGTTTTCTGTAACAATTTAGTAAAGTGAGAAAAACGTTCTGAATTTAACATCTTGCAAATGTACACAAGGTGAAATAGCATCAGTAATACTATATATTCTTTAAGTATGGCAGTAAAAAAAGATCATGAGGTTTGGTGTAGCTAATTAAGACAGGTACTTGTGGTAGTAAATAAAAATTTTATCAAAATGTGATTATGACATCGTGATTAGCTTTCTTCGATTATCACTCACTTATTAAAAAAACAGTTATACAATACATATCAATCTTACAATTCTTCTGTAAAAAATTTTTAAAAACACAATTATAACCTGCATAATGTGTTCTGACAATAACAAGGGATATATTGAAAATTACCTTCCTCATTTTCTATCATATTTTTTGATGCAACGTCTTTAGAATCCTCGATAATAAATTTCTCCATCACCGGTTCATTAATTACAGCTTTCGCTGTTTTTTGTTTATCTATAGAGGAGGATATAGGTCGTTCCTTTGATTTGCCTTTTGCTAAAGGTTGTGGTGGTGGTATAAATTCTTTATTCTCTTTCGGTGATTTATAAGCAGCTTTTTGTAGTATATCACAGAGGCGTCCATTAGATGGCCCGAAATCCATTTGTAGCAATCGATCCAGCTTAACCAGATATATGCAATATTTAAGTCAGCTTATCACAATTCATCAAATTTACACAGGTGATTGCGAATACCTCGAAATAGCATAAAATTTTAATTACAAAAAAACAGACCTCATTTGTTTTCCGTTTTCGAGCTTTTTTGTTTGCTTCTCCACTAGGCGCTTCAGATTTTAAAGGAGATGTACTGAAAAGTAAAAATATATATGCATAATCACTTTAAAGATTCCTTCAAAAATGGGGATGATGCAAAGAAATAGTGTATTGATTTAAAAAAATCCAATTTTATTTCATTATTGAAAAAAAAGAAAAGAAAAAGAGATCCTATAATCACAATAATAATGACTTAAAATACAAAATGAAATCAATTTTGACAAAGCTATGTTTTGACATTAATTTTACTTTGTCCGTCCCTTTCTAGTTTCCATTTTACCATGTCTCACTTCAACTTGTGCTTCCAAAACATTTTTCGTTACTGCTTTTTTTCGTGCTGAAAAAACACTACTTTTCGAATCGTTTGCTTACAAAATGAACTTAAGGAAAACAGAATTTTATCTGACGAATCAATTCTACGCTAATTCTAGTACTTTTATTTAATTATCTTTTCTTATCTCCATTCATGTATTAGAACTCTGAAGGCATTTAAAAATAATCCAAACATACATGTAGACCGTGCATTTTCTTTCGGTCCCTTTTTTCGATTTTTTTCTTCCACACCAAACATAATCCAGTCACTCAAACGAGATGGTGGATCGCATGCAAATGGCTCGCCTGATTCCTGGAAAAAATGCTTCTACTTTTATAAATTTACATAAAATAAACCAATTAATCTGATTAATGACTGATTTAGTACAACCTCGATTTGAAAGCCTTCAATAATATGAATGACTTTTCCTCTTCGTCCTGCACACTGATAATATTTTTCGGCTTCCTTTGTAAACAACATATGAATATCCAGGCTATCTTTAGATTCATCTAAAATAATCACTGATAATAATGATGGTTACATGAGCACATTTACTTAAAGTCGCAATTGAGAAATGACTCCGATTGCAAGCATTGCATCATAATTTTTGAACAAAACAAACATTTCTGCTACGAAACGTAAATTAAAGAGATTTATATTAAGATAAATTTAAAATCAAAATACAAACTTTGAGCAATAAAAGAAAACAGACACTAACACTACCCTTACTCCTTCTATTAATCAAATTTATGCTATTTATTTTTTTATTTTTACGATAAACTACATTTAATGAATTAAAAAGAAAACCATTTAAAAAGCCAAAAATTGCAACCTATCAGAATTATTTAAAAATTCTAACACCATTAAATATAAAAAATAAAACAACTTTGAATAAGAAGAGGCGGTGGTTCATTTTCGATTCCAGAGTCCACATATCCAGTATCGTCTTCTACTACTGCATTATGATAGCCTTGGGAGTTCGTATCTAAGAAATATTTTCAGAACATTACATATGATACGAGAAAAAAATTCTAAATGACTTATTTGCGGAACTTGCAATAACACCGCTACGTATTTAAAAATATCCCAAAAATTATAAAAGTTTTCAAACCTCAATTGCAACTGCTTTTAATCAACATTCATTATTCACAAAAAAAGAAATAGGAAAAGAAAATACTATTAATCTGAGATGATGGCTGCCGAGAAACAGCAAAGTTTGATTGTTGTTGGTGATGAAATACTGGTATCATCTGATGTGTTGGAACTGATGCATTTGCTATAAATTGTTGATGTACCATTTGTCCGTTTGGTCCCATGAATGGTACTGTTGCAGGTCCTCCGAAGGAACCCAGCTGCGACATTGCTGCAGACATAACCATCATTGGGACAGGTGCACCTACCGGTACCAAATTTGTAGGAGTTATTGGCTGAGGTGTAGCAACTAAAACCAAGAGTTGTTACATGTTAATGAAATTATTATTTTCTTCAGATTCTTCGTAATCACTTTTGAAAACTCAATGCTTGCTTAAAAGAAAATAGAAAAAATCATGATTTTCGGATTTCAGATTATTTTATATATACACCAATAAAATTATTTAAATTTAGATATATAGCACCAAACATTTGACAAAAAATCTGGACCCAATAAACATCACTATAATACACTTCTTTCAAAAAAAAAAAAGAGAGAGAGAGAGTCATTTCATATATTTTCTAAGTACATTCAAATTAAAATTATTTAACAATAGCAAGCTATCGTATCTGAATACTCACTTTTTACTGCGTTTGTCTTTCGTCCACTTTCTACATGTTTACCTTTTTCTTTTACATTCTTAGTTAGAATTTCCGTATTCCTAGTTGAAACTGACAAAGAGCTGAGAGATGAAGTCGCTTGCTGACTTTCTAAATCATGCATAATATTTTCAATTTCCCAGATAATTGAAAAATTCTATCCATCAGATTAATATTATACAATATGGCTATAAATCATCTCAAATCAATAATTATATCTCACACTTACAAAGAAACCTAAACTCTGTTGAGAAATCAGACAATTACTACAAACTTAACAATGAAAATGTTCATAAATCACTTTTTTAATTACTAATAACATTGAAAACTACTTCTACGTACCGAACACTTCAATTTAATATTTATTGTACAAGGAAAAATCATGATAGTAGAATAAAAAAGTCTGAGTCTGACTACTACATCCGAAGAGGGATGGAAGTGTTATATTTCTACTAATATAAAAGTTATAATTAGCAACCAAACCTTTCTCAGAACTTGATACAGGAACGTTTTCGTTATGTACTGTGACTACTGGCTCATTATCATTACTGATTAATGTTTGTTTATTTTTTGACTGAGAAACAGACGAAGCACCTATCTGAGTGAGTGATGTAGTCTTAGCAGAACTCTGGTGCTGCTGATGCTGTGAATTGTTTGTACCTACCGTCTGTCCAACACAAGCTGAAATTGATTACTCCTGTGAATACTTTATAACAGATATGAGTCGCAGTGTAATGAATTTAAAGATTCAGTAATAGATATATTAAAAATTATTAACAGTAAATAAAATCAACTGCAAAAATCTATGATGAGAAAAGTGAAGATCTTCAATCAACTTACGATGAACATAAGTATATGATCCTGATGGCATTTGGAAAACAATACCTGATGAACCTTGTGGTGCACGCAGCTGAACTCCTAAAATCAAAAAAGCAAAATTTTGACAAATTATAATACTAAGAATCAAGACAATTTTCACAATTTTGAATTTATAATTCAGAAACTTATATACCATCTTAACTTGACAACAAACAGAACACATACTAGGTAGAACCAACTGCATAGATAAACAAATACAACATCGTCAATCAATAAACGCTAATTTGAGAATAGTACTTATTGATACTATATTATTATTATTATCAATTTATTATTAATGACTATTATTATAATTACCATCGATTAATTGATATTATTACTTATAGATTAATTATATTATTAATTTACAATAATACTATTTATAATTATTATTGTCATTACGACTAGATGATTACAAGAAAGTAAACTGACGACTACGAATTAATACAAGTACCCTGAGAAAATATTGGTGGATGCATATGCTGAACAGATTGAATCCCCAGTTGCTGGGATTGTTGCTGCTGTTGTTGTTGTGTCGACAACCCTACTGATACATCACTTCCCTGGACAATCGTAGGCGATAACGTTGTTGATGTTATGGTAGAAAACGTAGTAGTTGTAGTTGATGAATTTTGAGTACAAGTTGTTACCATGCACACTAAAACTTTTATCATTAACATTTCGACTTCTAATAGAAGCATTTATTCGACAACAGTGTCAGAAGAATGAAAAATTTGTATTATTTGCACCTGGTATTGGAGTTGGTAACGGTTTTGGTGCCAAATTTCGTGAATGATGACCTAACGCCGTACTGCTAGCTACAAAGCTTGGTGGTTGTACATAGTGCTGCTGCTGCTGCTGCTATAAAAGTAATAAAATTAATTATTTTTTAATGTAAAATAAAATTTTATTTAAAAATTTTCATAACTAATAACTTATACAAACTTCATAACTTTCATCAACATTACCGAAAAATAATTGCACTATTTCAGACCACAAGCAAAAACTTCATTAATTCAACTATTATACAAAACCACCACCGTTAATCACTTTTACATACAATGCATATTAAATTGATGCAACCAAATTGACTCTGCTTATTATAAAAAATATTGAAAACACAACCTAAACAACATCCCTAATTTAAAAAGGTGCAGTACTGAATAAAGATTCCAACAATGAATACAAACAACCATGCATCATTACAACAAAAAGCTACTGCAATCGGCATTTTCTAATACATAATTTTCATGATGAAGGGAATGTTCTATTCCTAAATTCTTAAAACTAAAACCCAATTATGAACGCAATGCCGACTAAACTCCAAAAGCTTAAATCACTTTTCAATCCTTCGCAAATAGGATCTCATAAATTCTTAATATTTCCATCCTGCTTTTATACTCAATACTTAATACTTAATACTCCACATAAGTAATCGAATCCATCCATATACTTCTACCTTACTCATTTATTGTAGATCACTCTTTACTTACACTAGAATGAAAAGATAAAACTTGTTCAGGCTACGCATGAAATTTTTACCAATTAGCACTCAAAATCAATAACTAAATATATTTCTTTCTTCTAATAATACTTGAAAATAAGATAAAAAACGAAAAAATTTAAACATGCAAAGTCAAGATTAGAGAGGGCATAAAACGCATGATTTAAAATGCATGCCAGATGAGTTTGACGATTTTGCTGATGTTTGTAAAATTGTTGAGAAGATGCAATATTAGTGGCATTTGCAGCCTGTGCCTGATGTTGTATTACTTTATGAAAATCATGTCTTGAAGTGGTGATCATAGTAGAAGTTGTAGCCACTGTGTGGTGTTGTTGCTGCTGCAATTGAATTGCAAACTATTCACCGAACCGAA